GTTGTTTGAAACCAACAAATCTCTAGATTATTAAAGAAATATTTCTTTTTCAACAGAAAAATAATTACAGTATTTATGATTTACAGATCAGAATTAGACTCTCGAATGTTTTAAATTTTAAGCGCACAGAACCTCACATTACAAACTTTCCCTACAAGGTTTCCTTTTTCTGTTCAGCTTTTTCTAAAGTAATGTTTCAGAAGAAGGGAAAAAACACAAGTTAAATGTTTTCCCTCACTTTTACTATACTTTTCATCCTTAATGCTGGTAATGATCAGTAAATAACACCAGATCTACAGTAAAAGTAAAAACAACTGTGATACAATATGATCAATATGGTTTATTAGCATCATTAGCATTGTTAGCAGTAACAGTTTCTATGTTTACCTCAGCTGAAGTTTCCCAAACTGTCAGCTAAAACATTGTAATCCATCKTTTTTCATGTTGGACAGACTTGAATGTAGAAACAGAGCTGTAATCCAGTTTTCTGTCTGTGGAGCTCAAACTGATCGTCAGCTCACATCACACATTTACTGATAAGCACACYGTTTTACATGTAAATCTATGTTTTATCRTGATTTTACTTCACTTATGTACTTTGCCGTACTATTTCTCTAACTTTTRTAGRCTTGAAAAAAGTGACAAAAATACACCTTCCGTGTGGGGATTGTACAGTGTATCCTGAGTCACTGTTACAACAAGTGTAACAATGTTTTATGGTCCTCCAGGTGGAAATTGATGGAGTTTTTCTAAATTTCCTGAGGTTTAAACACAGCTAAAAAGTGCACTGTGATTGAAACCTATAGGGGCCGCTAGTGATGCTACACAACCACATGACTAGTGTTCTAAAACTAGCCTGAAAACAGAAAACAACCTATTTTTAATGCATTGTTTCTGATTTTTTTAAGATGACAGACAGCTGTCCTGGTCAAGTTCCAAATGATGGAGCTGGTTGATTCCTGATCTGCCGAGGTTAATGATTCAAGTCCTCACATTGAACCAGGTTCCATGAATCTGACGTCTAAATTAACTTGAATCCTTAATTGTTGTTGCCAACTCCTCATACAAAATAAGCCTCAAAAAGCTGTAAGTTTTGCAAAAACATCCATATTAATTAAATGGGGGATGGTCAGTGCAGGTGGACTGTGGGCCATGGAGGTAACGGCAAGGGAAAATGCGGTAAATGCAAACGGGAAAAGTACAGGAAACTTATTTCTAGTAGCGAAGCGGTTTAGAAGATGGTTATTTGATGTTATTTATTGTTTATTTCAATGTCTTACAGGATCTGACATGTAAAATAAATATGAAACTGAGTTTTGGAAAAAAAATCAAAACCATGAGATTGCTCTACACTCAACGGCCACTTTGTTAGGTACACCTTGCTAGTACCAGGTTGGACCCCTTTTGCCTTCAGAACTGCCTTAATCCTTCATGGCATAGATTCAACAAGGTGCTGGAAACATTCCTCAGAGATTTTGGTCCATGTTGACATGATGGCATCACACAGTTGCTCCAGATTAGTCGGCTGCACATCCATGATGTGAATCTCCTGTTCCACCACATCCCAAAGATGCTCTATTGGATTGAGGGCTGGGGTCTCATTTATAAAGGATTGAGTGGAAACCATACTAAAAGTGAACGTACGGCCAAAAGGCAGAAATGGCGTACGCCAAAAAAAAAAAAAAAATTCAGATTTATAAAACAGTGCGTACGCACATTTC